AAAACACTGTAGGTGAGACGTCAAAGACGTCAAATCATCACACAGAGTGTAAAAGGGAATTTAAAGAACTCATTCCTGGGCTCCTGGGCCAGATCAAGACTATCAAAGGCTCAGTAAGAGAAGAGGGGCATTTGTGAGGAAGAAAGAACATCATTCCCTGCCCCATTCTTTTTCTTGCCCCTTACCCTAGACCTCATGGGACACTAGTACCCATTTTCCCAGGACTGAACATGTGGCCCCTGGGAAGGGCATGTTCTGGGCACTAACAGCATCTTAGAAAGAGAGAACGGATTGAGAAACTCCAGCATGGGGGAACAGCTATGAGATACCTTGGCTCTCAGAGTTTGTCTGGCAAGGTGGGAATGATTCTGAGACTCTGGGAGCACATCTCCTCATTTGTCTGTCTTAGGCCCACTGCAATAGGGCTGTCTCAAGGGGCAAAGGGATGCTGGTTGCTGAGGGACTCCCTGCTTCCGTCCTTCTACTCTTTACTCCTAGAAGCGTCCTCTTCAAGACCTGTAGACCTAGCCGAACCACACCAGGGTCATGAGCACTTCTAGGGACAAGAGAGAAACCCAGTGTCACTAGCCTCTTGGGCCATCCAGAGCACAACAGTATCTAGGTTGGCTTTCCGGATTCTGGCCAACCTGTGTCCTGTCAGACCTCCTCACCCGCTGCTACAGGCTAACAATGCATGTCGCCCTAGAACCTCAGAAGGGAATTAGATTGCTGATGTCGTCACTGGTTAAGAGTGTCCCGATGAAACTGCCTTGGCTTTGGTGTGGGAGAGGACATGGAGAGACACACAAGAGGGAAGCAGGCCACATGAAGATAGATGCAAAAACTGAAGCTGTGCTGTCACAAGTCAAAGAACATCTGGAAGTAGCCAGAAAAGGTAGAAGGCACTATTCCCTAGCAACAGGTCTGACACCTTGACCTAGAACCTCCAGACTCCGGAAATGATGAATTCCCACCACTGTAAGCCCCCCTGTTAGTTGTACACTGTCACACGTGCTCTAGGAAACCATGGAACCAGGTCCCTCCAGGCACAGCAGTGATAGATGGGACAAGGAATGCAGAGCAGGGCTAGGCCTCAGAGCTCTCTGACAAGCTATAACTTTCAAATGACCCCTCCTGCAGCCACCCTCCCCTGCTGAGAGCCCCAGGAGGAAAGCTGGCATCTGCTCCCCCAGCCACCTATGACAACACACCAGAACCCAGGGGGCCTAGGCCTCCCCGCTCCTGGTAACCTAACCTCATCCTGTCCTGTGGCTAGGAAATTTTCCATCAACCCACCTCCAAGTCAAAGTCATTAGATTTAATCATTAACGAGGGTGGGGGAGTGGGGGATGTTAATTAGATGGGGGTAGGATGATCACCCATGCTGATGAGGACACAATTGGACGTTAAGAACAGCTGATCAGACAAACATGGGGAAAAGCAGGACCTGACAAAAAATAGGCTGGAATGCACTCCTGGTATACCCCACCCCACCCCACCCCACCCCCACCCCCACCCCCAGCCCCCGAGTTCTGAAGGCATCAATAGCCCTTTCCTCTATCCTGCTTTGGCAAGCACCAAAGGAGAAAACATTTGCAACCATGTAATGGATGTAACCCATTTTGGGAGCCCAATCCTCTCTCTCTATATATATAACAGGATTGCCTCTTGTTAAGCCAGTTTTAAGGCTGAGGAAATAGAGAGTTTGAGAAGCTAAACAACTTGTTTAAGGTCACAAACACTAAGTGATGGAACTAGGATTTGAGTCCAGGTGGGTATGAGAAGCCCAAGGTCATACTGACCTCTCTCTCTCTCTATCTATCTATCTCTATCTCATCTATCTCTGAATGTGCGCGCACGCGTGCTTGTGTGTGGTGTGTGTGTGGTGTGTGTGTGTGTGTGTGTGTGTGTGTGTGTGTGTGTGTGTGTGTGTGTGTGTGTGTGTTGTGTGTGTCCTGGGAGTTACAGCATCTTGTTCCTCTACTTCGGTGACACTCCAGACTGGTAGGTAGTATTGGTCACCTATCACCAGTTGGCCCTGAGGCTGAATGAGGTCCAGAAAGAGACACTGGACCTGAGTTCCGCTGTACCTGCAGCACTTACCATAGTGCCTGGCATGTGTAAACATTTGTCGAAAGAATCAACTCAACCTGTAAGAAGGTTGGGGTTAATAGCTCTCTATGGGTTGGTCTTCTGCTGGAGACCATCTGGGTGCCTATGTATTTCAAGAGGTCATCTGGGGTAAGCCCTGCCACTGGCCCCTCCTCTAGCAGGGCTGGAATGATGCCAGTCCCTAGGTCAAGTGCTTCTGGTCTTTAGCCCGAAGGCTCGAATAGCTGCTCCTAAGTCTCTTCCACCTCAACGAGTGGTAGCTGTGGTTAGTACAACAGTAAAGCACTTTGGAGGGGAGTGAGTCAAATGAGAGTAAGTGCCAGCCCCCTTCCCAAGAGTACCAGCTGCAAGGAAGGCCACCACTAGGACCTGGCACAGTTGCACTGATTGGCTTTTTCACAGGCAAATGGGCCTTCTGAAGCTCTCTCTTCCAGCTCGTCACAGAAACCATGCATCTTCACCAATGGGGCAAAAACAAGGTATAGCCCATTAATCTGGAAGGCAGCAGAGTCAGCAGGGAGAGTGGGCCATTAGGTGATGGCATCACCCATGTCACATCCCTCTAACCTTAAATATTCATGAGCCAGAAATGTGCCCTGGGGTAGCTGTGACTCTGCAACCTGGGATGTAGTGGGGGCTGGGGGGGGGCACTTTGGCACTCTTCACGTAGACACGCGTGAGCAGAGAAAGAGGCACACTCGGTCCTCCTCAGCTAGGAGCCCTATCCAGGCAGGCTCAGGCCCTGTGCAGCTCCCCAGCCCTGTGTGTGCAATCCACACTGCTTCCCACACACCTAGCAGGTGCTCACAGCTATTCAGCTCAGGGCTCAAATGGAGGTCAAAGAGACATGCACACACCTTCCCAGGTACCCCTCCACTTGGCCTGCAGAAGCTGTGCTGGGACCCACTCCGCCTCCTTCGGGCCTGCCAGCCCCTCATCCTTGTAGTGGCCAGGGAGCTGTCTTCCCTCTGGCTTTCTCTGACTACCTCCTCCCCCTCCACCTCTACACCCTGCCACCATGGCTACACAGCTGCTGCCAGGACCCCTCCTCTCCTTCCCACTAAGCCTCTCCTGGCCCCCACCTGACCTAGAGCTTTCAGACCAAGGGAAGTCAGAATCTAGAGGTCGAGATGGAAACACTGAGGAATTCTAGGGCTAAAATTTAAGGGAAAGAAAGGAATATGGAAGAAATCTAAGCGAACTGGACCAGCCCGGATAGAGCAACGCTCACTCTGAGATTCTGCATGAAAACAAGTCGGGAGTCCCCCAGCGCTACGTTAGATGTGGCCTGCCTCTGTGTCAGGTTCCTTACTCCAGGGATCCTCAGCTATAATGCATGGAGTTTCCGACACGGCAAAGGAGATGGGGGGATGAGGTCCAGTCAGGGGTGGGGATTGTGCCTTCAGGTCCTTCAGTCCAGGACAAGGGGACAGAGAATGGCTCCCGTTAGAGGGCACAGTGCCCCTAAGTGTGGTTGGGGGAAGCAAAGAGAAAGAGGAAAACAGTGACTAAGGAACCCATACTCTGTCTCCCAGGTTAGGTGTCTTCACCATCTCTTTTTGGACCCTTGTCCTGCGATGTGGGTGCACAGACATTGGGATCCAGGGACACTGAGAAGCCCAGGCAGCTGAACACCTACCCCATACCAACACAGGGGGGGAAAAAGGCTGTTAGAGGGGGCAGGGCAAGCAGAGAGTGTTCCCTGAGTTCTGATACCACAATGAACAGCAAATGCAGGGCCCACGGGCCAGAACCTTCAGGGCTGCTGAGTGGCTGTAACCTGGCCTTGCCCTAGAGGAAGCTGAGCCTGCCTGCTGTGTAAAGAGATCCCTAGGGGAGGGGGGAGGGCGGCTATTTTTGGAGGAAAGAGGGGAAGGGGCCTTGGAAAACCTACCGGAGAATCCCAGACTGAGGGTTAAAGCTGCCCCCTAGAGTAGGGGGGGGGGGAGGTGATGAAGGCCCATTCTCCTGGAGCCAGGCCTAAAGCTGCAGGGACCCTGCCCTCTGCCGAGTTTAAGGCTAAAAAGAAACTGATCCCCTGGCCCTGCCACGCGCCTCTCCTTCTCTGTCTCAGTCCCCCAGTGCCTCCTAAATCCATCGGGGCCCCTCCCCAATGCCCAGCACCCACCTTTCTCTGTCCAGTGACACACCCTCCCCAGTACAGAGCACTCCAGCTCCTATGAATACCCTGTCACCCTCACTGGTCAGTACTGAGTGGCATGTTGGTCCCTTACCAACCCAGTAAGTTCTTCTCGTAGTCTAACTTCCATGCCTCCAGTGACAGCAAAGCATTTTCACTTTTCTGCCAACAGTGAAAGAGGACACCAGTCATCTGTAAACGAGCCTCCCCCACCAGAGGGGCATCCCTCTCCATCCCCCCACACCCTCCCCTGGCAGGCCTTTCACCCACTTTACAGCCCCACAATGTAGCAAGCAGAAAGTGAAATCTATTTCACAAGCGGGATTGGCTTTCACCCCCACGGCTCCCTCTTTACCCTAAATGGATCTTTCTCCCCAAGCCCTTGGCCCATCCTCGTTCCAAGCATGCTCTTGAGACCCTCCTAGGCCTTCCCCTCCTCTCCCTGTGGGATTGTTCCCTGAACTGGGCAGGGTCCAAAGCCCGTACCCGCCCTCCAAGTTTTCACTTCCACTCTGGTATTTTCCTCAAGGGAAAGTCTTCTCTTAGTCTAACCTTAATCTCTCCTGCTGCGCACCTAAACTCCCTTTCCTTCCTTTCTCTTTGTGAAATCTTCCTTTTGCATCATAAATACAATCTTCCTCTCAAGCTGAGCCCTTCTACTTTCCCAGACACTGAAACCTGCCCCGGCTTGGAGAAGTTCTTGGGCTCCCTTTCACATCTACCCCCCCGCCCCAGAATTCTAGGATACCTGGACGCCCGCCCGCGGAGGGACTGGGACAGCGACTCGCCCCAGTCTGGCTTTCCAGCCTGAGGGGCGGCGACCCGCGCCTCAGCCAGTGCAGCCACGACGGGGTTAAGGCTCTGGACTGGGGGAGGAGGGGGCCGGGAGGGGCGGTGCGGAGCCAATCCGCAGCAGCATAGTCCCCGGGCCGAGTGGGGCGCGCCGAGCTGGGAGCTGCCAGCCGAGAGCCGGGCTGGGGCCGGGGCCGGAGCGCAGCGGAGAGGGAGCGCGCCCGCCCCAGCCCGAGTCCCGCCGCCGCCGGGCCCCGCGCCATGGAGCAGGATAACAGCCCACGGAAGATCCAGTTCACCGTCCCACTGCTGGAGCCGCACCTGGACCCCGAGGCGGCCGAGCAGGTATGGGCAGGGCGGGGCAGCGGGACTCGGCGAAGGACTAGGGACCAAGCCGGGGAACCTGAATCCTTGCCTCGCCCCCCAGCCCGGAACCGCACCCCTTCGGAGACATACTCGCCCAGTTTATGGGGGTCTCCATCCCCTCCCCCAACGGCAAAGCCACGTCTCCCCATCAGTGCGGGTCCCTGAGCGGGGTATCTACGAGAGCCAGAGCGTCGTTCACTTCTGCCCTGCCTTGGGGACACGACCCCTCCCCCGCTGGCGACCTTGCGTCCCCTCACTCTCGGTCAACCCCCGGAGTTTCCCGGCTGGGTGTCAGCATTGACCTAAAGGGTATCACCCGGTGGGAGCCCAGGGCGGGGGTCGGCAAGTGGGAAGAGACAGCTCCGCCCCTCCGACTCTTCTGCACCTGGGCTCCGAGTGTGGCACCCAAGGGGATGAGGACAGCGATGGAGGAGCTTTGGCGCGAGGGCGGGGGTCTGCAAGCTGATGTTTGTTCCCTTCTGCAAGTCGGAGCACGTGGGTCCTGGGTTTAACTCCTGCCCTTTGGAGTAGGGTGTGGGGGTGGAATGCGGGGCTCAGCCCTAGAGCGCTTAACCACGAGCAAGCCACCAAGAGAGCTTGGCTCACCGGGTGGGAGTGCAGGGCCCTGGCCCAGCCTCCTGGCCTGGCCTATTTTTAGCTCAGAGCAGCCTGGCAGAGGCGGCAGTGTGTGAGTGAGCAGCGTGTCTCAGCGTCAGTGAGCGTATGGAAAGGGCTACTACCTGCAGCCTGTCTCTTCCCATTCCCTGGTCATGAGGAGACCAACTGGTCCACAAGAGCATCCAGCTCTCTCCAGGCTGGGGTTCCTGCCTCCAGCCACTCACTGTCAAGCTCCCCATCTGAGAGACTCTGAGACCTCTGGGGATGGGCAAGAGAGGAGAGGTTCCCACGTTGCTCGGTCTGATTGATAGCACTGGGTGTTCTTTGAAACTTCTGCTTCTCAGGACAAGGGAGGGCCAGGTATCCTAGCTTCCCAGCACCTATGGAGCTGCAAGGCGTGGCTGGAGAGGGTGTATTGAGACCTCATATACCTGAAAGGAGGAGCATGAGGAGTGTCTCTGTGGGCTCAAGGAATAATTCTATGTCCTGAGACAGGAGATTGGCTAAGATGACTTCTGACCCAGGAAAGGAGGGAGGCCCAGGAGTAGGAACTATAGAGGAGCTAGAGGTTCTAAGAGCTGCTCCCACTGGCAGACAGGACCTGACACCTGCTTCTGTTTGATGCTGGGGTGAGGGGAGCTAGCTGATTCCGGGATTTGGGAGCAAAGGAGCATATGGGGTCACGTGACAGTGTTAGGAAGCCAAAGTGGGCAAGGAGCTGGGACTCGGCCCACTCTCTTCTAATCTCCAGAAATCTGTCTCCTGGGCCTGAAAGTTTGCCCCCAGTTCTTCCTGGTGTGCTACCAAGTCTGTAGGCAAAAGCTCCAAGCGCAGCAGGAGCTCCTACCCCAGCCTCCGTGGGGCGGGGGTGGAGAAAGAGTGGGAAGCTAAGTGTACAGCAGAGCTGGGGGTGGGGGGCTGCTAACCTCCACCACAACCTTCACATGCCCTTGAGAGCTAGGAAAGGTAGGGGCAGAAACAGAAAAGAGACCTTTCTGTTTTGTTTTGGGTTTTGGAGACAGGGTTTCTCTGTGTAGCTTTGGAACCTGTCCTGAAACTAACTCTGTAGACCAGGCGGCTTTGAACTCACAGAGATTCACCTGCCTCTGCCCCTCGAGTGCTGGGATTAAAGGTGTGCACCACCACCCGCCCGTCTGAGACCTTTCTGTTGGGTACCTAGGACACAGGGAGCCTGGCTTTCCTCTCTTATGACAATATCACAATTCCCAAGGATTCAGGGTGCTTCAAGTGCCTGTCTAGAGCAAAAAACGTCTGTTGAGGGACGTGTCTAACCCCCCCAGAGTCTGCTGACCTTTTGGTTAGCCTCCAATACAGATGTCGTGTCAAACAACTAATCCCCATTCCACCCAGCATCGGTCACTTGGATTCCTCTCCAGTGACCACTCCAACCCCCACTACCATCCCACCTCACCCTACTCAGTCAGAAGGCAAGGAAGGAGTCAGGTTCTAGCAAAGGGGTGGTACCATTCCCACATACATGAAGTATCTTATACCAGGAACAGCCAGAGACAGCACACACACACACACACACACACACACACACACACACACACACACACACACACACACACACCTCTACTGGGACCTTGAAATGTCACTAAAATCAGATGCCACTGATTCCCCTGAGGCAGGAAGTCACTTCTAGCCCATTCCATACATGTCGTCTTCCCTTTGGGAAGTGCCCCCTCTCTGGCTCACATAGTCCCTCCTACTAGTCCCGCTTTCTAGGCTCCTTGTCACCTCCCCTCACCACTGGCAGTGGTGATGATGCCAAGTGATAGATGTGGACAGATCTAAACCTTGTCATTTGGGTCCTCACTGGACTCCTTCCGGCTCCCCCGCAGCTGTTAGCTTTACCTACCCACAGCTGCCCTGAGAGCTGCGGAAGCTCTCTCTGCCCCTGCGGTGCCAATCTCTACCAAACCTTCCCCAGAAAGGGAAAAAGCACCCATCCCAAGAGTCCACGGAATTCGGCAACAACCAACTTAGTAGACAGCAGAACAAGAAGAAAAAACAACAGCAGGAGGGTGGCTAGAGGTCAGTTGGATCCCTAGTCACCGGTCAGCTGTATATGCTAATTTCCCCTGGGGTCCCAGGACCCTCCTCATGTCATGTTCCCTGACCAATCATAAAGCCAGTGTGTGCAAGGCTAAGGGAACCTTAGAGTATTGAGGGGCTGTGGTGGCGGAGGAGAGGTGTACTCAGGCCTTTCCTCCTTCGTGATGGGTGAGCGAGCCTGAGGAGGCCTTTTGCAGGCAGGTATGAGCCCACAGACGGTTAGCGTCTGCTTAAGGGGTGGACTGGAAGCTGAGGGAAAGTCCTCTGCCCTCTCCTGTTATTTCTGACCATTGATCCAGGGTGGACCAAAGGACAACAGAGATCGATGCACAGAGTGGACAGAGCTTCTGAAAGCAAAGCTGAGTAGGACAAAAATGGGGGTAGGAAGGCAGTGCAGGGAAAGGGACATGTAGATTGAGTTCCTAAGAACAGCTCACCCTGGAGAAGGGAATGGGCAAGTACTCCAAGATAACCTGACCGTGTCGGAGAGATGTACAGAGTTGGCCTGAGTGGTGTTCCTGGTGACTCTGACCTCTTCTTCCTCCTCCCCTAACCCAGATTCGGAGGCGCCGCCCCACCCCTGCCACCCTTGTGCTGACCAGTGACCAGTCATCCCCAGGTAACCCAAAGGGCAAATGCCTGGAAGAAGGGGGTCCCTGTAAGAGGGGATGGGTGCTAAAAAGGAAGAACAGACCTGTGCAGTAGACTTCGCCCCATGCTGGCTCAGCAAGATTTATTTTGCTTTAAGAAAGATGGAGCCATGCTAGGAGGTAAAGGGACCACCTGGTTCCTAAGCCCCCCCCCCCCGGAACTGGGGTGGTCAACTGAGTGCAGGTTGCTGTGACAACAGCCTTCTAGGTTTCTCCAGCAACTGAGATGTCACTGTCCCCACTCCCAAATGCAGTGACAGCTGTGAGGGGGAGAGTCTGCCCCCATCATCTGGCATCGGGTCCCCAGGGGGTAAGGTTGGAAACAGCTCAGGGAGCAGATGGGATTCTGGTCACCAGAGTCCCCACCAAGGTCTGGAGGCAGAGCAAGGTCTTGGAGAATGTCACAGGAGCTTGGTAGGCATGGAAAAGAAGTGACCAGGCTAGCCTGAAATCTGGAATGCCCAAGCCTCCAGACTCCCACCTTCCATAAATGATGCATATCTGTGGGCCTGATCAGAACAAGTTTGCTATTCTGTCTTAGAGCATCCTACTCCTGTGCAGACTGAGCTCTGGCCGTGGGGATGAAACAATGACTGGGAGGAGAGAGACCTGAACGCTGGGGAGGAGGGGAAAAGGCAGAAGGTCCCCAAATCTGCCTTCACAGACCTCAAGGCCTGAGACCAGGCTGCCACAGGGCCTAAGTCTTGACAAAGCCAAGCAACAGTGCAGGGGAATCCAGAGAGAGCAGACTCCTGGGACAGCTCAGGACACAGGTGACTGCAGAGTCCCTGATCCTTAAGAACTTTGGGGACTCCCTGGGTTTCCTGTTCTTATCAGTGTTTCTGTTGTTTTGTTGTTGTTGTTGCTGTTGTTTTGTTGTTGTTGTTTCTATTTCCCCCAGAGGTAGATGAAGACCGGATCCCCAACCCACTTCTCAAGGTGAGCTGGCCCCTTCCACTTAGCCCAACCCTCAAAAGTCAAACCCTGGTCCTCCAGATCTAGGGTGTGGCACAGTGAGAGAGAGCACCCACTTAGCTTTCATACAGGCCCTGAGTAACCTCCCCAGAACCCAGCTCCCCACCTGTAAGGCCTGTGATGCCTTCTCTCATGTACCTCTACAATGCCCCTCCCCAGTCTCCACGCCCAGCCTGGTGGAGACAGCTAAGAAACAGGAATCTTCTGTTTCCCCTGAAACCCACCAGCCCTGATCTCTACTCTAAAAGCATACCAAGGCAGAGGAGGAGGGTGGGAAGGGGCAGCACCCATATAGGCTCTGTGTCCTTCACAGTCCACTTTGTCAATGTCTCCACGGCAACGGAAGAAGACGACAAGGACCACACCCACCATGAAAGGTTTGGCATCAACTTT